GTATTTCAAGCGAATCTCATTCGAATCTCCTTATAGTGTGTATGATATAAATGGTCTAAAGTTTTAAAATTCGAAGCACTGATCTTTTAATTTGCCTTCTGACAACTGGTTTCTTGAAATTCGGTTACCGTTATCAATTTTAGTGAAACGATATTCGGTTACAAGAATCTCGAAGTGACTCTATACTATACGGATGCTTCGATGTATATCTATCCTCAAATCAAATATGATAAGGAAATATCGTCAGTGTCGAAGGAACTCAAGGTTTTTGTTACTCACGTTTTGTTAAGTCTGGAATTATTTCACAATTCAGTTGATGAGTATTCTGTTGATAAGTTGAAGATTTCCGAGTAATCTCAAATTGTTCATGCCAGTCACTGAGTAAATTTAACTTCCAAGTAGCAAACACTTCTGTCATGATGATGGCATTGCGCTGGAAATGTTAATGTTAAAATGTGGTTGTGGAGTGAGAAACAATTTTTTGTTGAAACGTCGCATCGATGTCAAGATTTCAGTGGAGTGTTTGTTTTATAGGCTGATAACATAATTGAACTGTTGAAAAATCAACTTCCATCGGCTGAGATGAATACAATGGTGTCATCGTTGGACATCTTCAGAAAGCATCTCAACCAGCAACGTTCATTCAGGCCATTCGGCGAATTGATAGCAAAATTCGATTTTGGTTTGTATTTTTAAGTTTGTATCCGTCACTCTGTGTTCTATTGAAATCCGCGTGTTCATTGGATGTAATTACGTTTCGGTATTCCCCTAGAACTGAGCGGAAGTTGAATAGCATTTCTTGGCCTGTTCGAGGTGAACCACACTGTTTTCTGTTGGATTGGTTGACGATTTAGGAAGAAGCTGAGTGCATGTGAGTTGGCTTCATTGGTCACTCGATCACTTAATATCAAACCTAACTATTCTCTACATTTGACTGAAGTTTGGCGTCAAAATCAAATAAATATTTCCTAGTTCAGTATATTTCCCGAATGTTAGGCTGAGAAAACTCGTACGATTTTTCTCTAGTGATTGCTCGATTTGAATAAGATGGCTTGATTGGTGTTCGGCTTAAGATTGCTGATTTTTAGATGGTCGTGAGATGCAAGTGTGGAAAATTAGCGAAAGTTCACCGCAATTCGATGCGTATTTGGCTCGTGCACAAACACTGGCGTTGTGGTACATTGATGCAGCACAATACACTGACAACGATGACCCAAGATGGCAACATTATTTTGTGTATGTTCTCTGTTTTTTGTGGAAGGGAGTGGAATCAGTTCAGATATGATTTGTAAGTAATGAATTTCAAACGGTTGAGTGAGCGTACACGGAAGTTGAATATTTTTGAATATTCGTTGAGATGCGA